TTTGTTATTTATGGTATGGGTGTGTGGTTTCTTCCTATCTTGTTTTTCTACATTACTTGCTTGATACTTGAGGCATTCTTTGATGATCTGCATAAGCGAATGTCATCATATCATTCAGTCATCGTGGACATAGGAACCTTTAAGATGGAACATTACAGATTGTGTGAAGTGGTCCAGACTGCCGACAAGATGCTCGCCCCTATTTTACTCGAACTGGTCTCTCTGGACATTCCTCTGATTTGCTTCAATTGTTACAGAGCTATTAATTTACCCGAGGAAGAGACAATTATATTCCTCGTCGGGAATATATTTTTGCTTTTGATTTCTTCTGGTCTCCTAGCACTTATCATGATATTTGGATCTAAAGTATGCGAAAAGGTATGCAGCATTGAATCTTTTTTAAACTATAGTTTAGTTACTCAATTTCTTCCTTTCTATTTTTTTTTTTTTTCGCATTTAAATGCCCTTCTTCTATCACCATTAAGTGCACATTTCTCCTTTCGTTCATTGCAGGTAAGTTGAAGTGTTTAGAGTCTTTCTGTTGCTACTCTCCTATTTTCTTATAATTAAACATCTATTTTTTACTTTCATATGCTAACTTGCAAAGCACTCCCATGTTAAGAATGAATGTATCGTATCGTGAATTTGATATTCCTTTTTGAGATTCACAACTTCCAAAATATCTTACAAACTTCTCTTGGATCAAAGGAAGACGAAAGGGAGGTGTTTGCTGCTCTACAGGTGTGGGAAATGTATTTTCCTAAATATTCACGAAGATGGGGAGAAGGGATCACACAGTGGTGAGAGCGCTCGCCTTCCACCGATGTGGCCCGGTTTCGATTCCTGCCCGGTGCCATATGTGGGCTGAGTTTGTTGTTGGTTTTCGCCTTTCTCCGAGGGTTTTTCTCCGGGTTTTCCGGTTTTCCTCCCTCCAACACTCCAAATTCCGTAAATTCGACCAGGATAAATCGGAGAATCCGAATGTAAACCAGATAAGGCTGATGTTGTTTCGTCTCTAAATATAGTTATTTATCATTAACTTATTTTATTTATTTCTTTTTATGAAACATTGTCCAGCAAGAAACATCTTCTGTCCCACCATCCAACCTCCCCCCTCCACAATGAAAAAAGGAAAAAAAACGGAAAACAGAAAGAAATATAGAAAAATAGAAAGTGAGAGAGAAAGGCAGAGAGAAATAGAAATGAAAAACAAGACTTAGTAACTAAATATTCAAGTACAAACAAATCCGAAGAGTTAACAATTTATGAGTGATTTCATGAAGACGTTCTTCCTCATTTATAAATTAGAGGAGTTATTTTGTAGGTTGACTTTAATTGTATTTCAGTTAGTATCGTTTATGTTGGACCTTAAGGTGAACCAAAGGGTCTTTCCATCGGGGATTTGATCTTAATTTCCAAGTCCACGTCACTAACGGTGAAACCAGTCAGTTACTAGTAAGGGGGATATCACAGACTGATTGTAAGCATTTCCCTTCCTAAAATTGTGGAACAAACCAACGACAAAGTCTAAATGTCTGCCTTTCATGGTGGTTTTCGTTGGGGGTTACAACACAAAAAAGAAAAGGCGCTTTTTTATGTCGACACATTTTCAGGACGCTGGTATTTAATAGTAGAGGAAGTATTTCTGAATGATTACAATTGTAAAAATTGCTGAAAGAGAGAATAATTTCTGTTAAACAGGATGTGCAGTATCTACAATATAATGGTTTAATGTCGATCTTGATTACTCCACTTAAATTTGAAAAACCCAAAGTATATTTATCTGATAAACTAAAAAAGAAATATTGAAAATGTTTTGAAACAAAAAGAAAGTATTGTCGAGGAAAAGGTTGTTGTTATTCATCGTGGTAGATGCAATAATAAAGTGTATTATCGTTTGTCT